GCACATAGCCTTTTTTATGTGTATTGAGATATACGAGCTCACTAGCGCTCACTCTTAACAGACAAACGAATAGACACACACAGTCCCCGGCCTCCTCGCAGAATGTTCATAAAGCACTCCCCGTTCACAGTAACCGGGTCGTCTCATTCAAAACAGCCAGCTGTTGCTGTCAGCGAGCCGCCGCACATTGAATACTCATATGAGTCAGGCTGCGAATGTAAAAGTTACGTGCCCGCCCTGGTTTTTTCTCACCGGTTAATCGACGTGTGACAACACCGGTGTCAATACCGGTGTCACCGGCGGAGGCTTTTAAATCGCTAATTAAAGGCAAATGTAAAATGCGCTAGGGCTGGTCTGAATACCATTTTGAGCTTCGAATATTCGATGTTCATTACTAGGCCTACCTACCGAAGCTGTATCTAGCCTATCGGAAGGCTAAATCTTAGCCTTAATCAAAGGTGGATGACAGATGAATCATAATAATGTGTTGAGGTTAATAAAGACACAGAAACTCTCATCAGGGTAAACGCAAGGAAAGGGCGTCTTTCACTTTCGTTTTCAACAACATAGCCTAAATCTATTCAGGGAAAAAAAACAATCAAGGAAAACATATCATTGGAGCTCGACATATCTATTGTTATGTACAGAACAGCGATTCTCTCTGTTAGGCTACTTCTAATTTAAATAAATGAAAACGAATAACTTAAATATAGAAAAACGGAATTTAAAAAAAGAAATTGTGACGTGAGGTCTCAAAGTCTCGCAGTAGATTAATTTAGATTGATAATAACGGATAAAAAGGATAATACATTTCGTTTCCAAATGTACAAGCGCAGGCATGCACTTCTCTCCATACAAACTCCGTTCTGCGCTCGCCAGAGAATACTCCCGTTGCAGAAACACTTTTAGTAGTCCAAGAAGAAGCAAATATATTTATTAAATAGCAAAGTTTTATGTTAAGGCAGAAACAATGCGCTCATTGAAATAAAGAATACGTGATAAATGATTAGGAAACATAGAAAACTTTAGCGTTGGTGCTTTTTGACATATTTAAAATATGAGTGTGAAAAAGTCAACAAACTGAAAAAAATATGTAGGTAATATTATATTGTTAAAACTGGTTACACAAAACAAATCAAAATACATAAAAGGTGAAACCTGCAATTTTCTGTGCATTTCATGGTGAATTTGTTTCTTATACAAAAGAAAAAAAGAAACACAATTAGTCCTTTTTCCATCATAGAAGAATGTGATTTAAAATAAAAACCTTAGCTCCATTTTTTTTGTGTAGTGTATTTTCTTTCTGCACCTGATCTGATGTTAAGTTTGTATTGCCATTATGTTTAAATATTTGATAATTGATGTAAAAGTAATGTTCATCAAAGCTAGGTAGCTTATTTTCAGTATTTTGCTGTTTGTTTCCTAGCTTCACTCGCTCATCAATTATCTCAAATGTGTGGATTTAGTTTTACAATAAATCTGCATACAAAGGATTTCTTCATGTTCATGAATAGAGAGAGACAGAGAGTTTAGCTCACTGTTTAGTTGGAGTTGTTACACCTCAGCGAGAACAGTATTCAGATTCACTGTCTTTCTGCTGAAGGATGCATGAGAAAAGACACATTAATTACCGTCCTCCCTAACAGTAACTGCAATTTAATACACAGGTCACAGATATGGCTAAAAACAGATTAACATCAAAATAAAAGCTAAACCCACAGACTCAATCCACAAAATGATATTTGTGGAGATTTTTTTTATCACGTTTGTAACGTTACTGATAAGAGTAACGTTACAAAAATACATCAAACTGTTGGCAGAAAAACGCATGCCTTATTCCGGTTTTATGGCACTTCCATAATATAAACTCAAAACTTCACTTGATTGTAAAGAGGCTTCAGCAAAGGGAGGATTCATCATTTGCAGCGTTATTGTAATCTTGGTCGTAAAATCAGGGTCGATCACCAGCAAACACAACAGTAGAGACAAAGAAACTCGTTATCTGAAAACAGGCATAAAGTCAGGCAGCAAACTTACATAAATCAATCCACAATAGCAAACAGGCCAGACAGAAAAGAATCACGAAGAGAATAAACAGTCCAAGAGTAATCACGGGAAGAAGAAAAAATACTGGAAGAAACGCTCAGAGATGTAGACCAGAGCAACACAAAACTTCCCGATGAGGATGATCTTCTTCTTCTCATGAAAAATGGCGGATTGCAACCAACTTTTAAGTGCATACCGCCACCTACTGTACAGCACACCCTGTGGCTTTAAGAAATTTAAAAAGTGCAATTCTGGTGATTATAATCCCCTTTCCCTCTCCTTCTGTTCCCAGTATCCCAATTAGATTCAATTGCTTCCTGAACCCCATCTTGAAACATCTGTTTTTCTTTTAAAAAAATAAATAAAAATAACGCAATGTCATTTTTTCCCCCATATCGTGCAGCCTTAGAGACAATCAACACACACAACAACACAGTGGTTTTAATCATTTTTAATAAGTGTCCAATTAACTGAAAACGCTTAAAATGTTTTTTTTTTTTTATTACAAGACAAATTGTGGGACGTAATTTTTCTGCCTTTTTTCTTTAGATCAAAAAATATATAAATAAACAAAAGAAATTTCGGCCGATAATTTTCGAGTTTAATGATATAGTTAACACAGTTTGGTTTTTGGTTGTTGTTAACAAAGTTTGGTTTTAAGGTTTTTGTTTGTTTTTAATTTAACAGCTCACTAGCCTAAGTAAAGATCTAAAAATATTCATTGACACCGTGACCAGAGTCTGCATTTTCAGGTCATTTTGTAAAAAAAAAAGTCCCAATCGCTGGATGCCGCATATACGCATACCAAACACTTGTTTTCCAAATTCAGTTCAGACGAGTGGAATTGAGAGGATATACAAATCCTGTGAGCTCAAAGAATAAACTCCAACAGGTTCCTGTTGGTTAGAGCAAAGATACGGAGGCAATAAACCCAAGATTGATTTAAACAAGAAAACAATATTGTATTGTATTGTATTGTATAAAACAATAGTTGTGTAAAATATTGCATACAATACATGCGCCTTTAGTTTGACCTCTCGTGAACACAGCTTCATAATCTGGTCATAATGATATCAGGAAAGTCCAGACTATATTAAATATAACATTTTATTTATAAGTTAAAATATCCTCTTCCTTGAACTGCCACCTTACAATGGTGGAGGGTTTGAGTAACCGAATGACCCTAGGAGTTATGTTCTCCGGTGTGCCCCTGGTAGGGCCTCCCAAGGTAAACAGGCCCTAGGTGACGCGTCTGAAAACCCTTTATGGTGGCTTTAAAATCGAGGACCGTGATGTCGCCCGGCATGGCGCTGCTCACATAAAATGACATCCCAATGAGTTCACACCTCAATCCATAAGATGGCGGTAATGGACTTTGTTTGCAAACTGGCAATAATAAAAACACAGATGAAGAAGAAAATCCTCATCGGGAAGTTTGTGTTGCTCTGGTGAACATCTCTGAGCGTTTCTCCCCGTGGTTTTGTCTTCCCGTGGATTACTCTTGGACTGTTTATTCATCCTACAAGAGAAGGACAAACTCCAGGAGTAGCAGCTGAAATCTGTGTGACTGTTAAAGATGGAGTTTATTAAAGAGGAGATTGAAGACATGACTGATCCAGAACCATCCAGAATAAAACATGAAGATGAGCAACAAACAGGTTGCTGTGCATTATTGATTCGGCCTATTGTTTATTCATTGTTTATGCTTTGGTAGATGTGAATTAATAAGCAGTATATTGATTAGGGCTGCACAATTAATCAATTCGATCACTTATGCCATTATTACGTGGTCGTTCAAAGCCGCGATTAAAGCCACTTACATTATTCTGGGTGGTGTGTTTAGTGCATGTTATGTTGTGAGAGGCGAATCACGACACACAGGAACTAACCAGAGACTTAAGTAATAGGCCTAATAATAATAATAATACATTTTATTTGTAGGCGCCTTACGACACCCAAGGACACCTTACAGACACAATAAAACAATCAACCATATAATCAAATACTCATTATTAAAACCTTGGATACACGTATCGTATAATATAAAAAAAATTATCAATATTAAAATAGATAATCAATAAGTTTTTTGCCTACGCTAAAATTGTTGTCCTGCGAAGTAGCGCGCACTCTTCAATTACGGTGCGGATCCACTTGTCCGTGCGGCACTTCTGTCGCGCCGTCTGTGTTTATCAAAGAAAAGGTGCTCTCTAATTTTATTTTGCTTTTTGAAAATGTAATTTTTGGATTTTTTTATTCAGGAGAAGGTGAAAAACGAAGCTTTTGTTATTAATTTGTTTATTCTTTTAGTTAAGTTTCACATCCACAAGTGTAAATTTACGAACAGAAAACCTTGTTTTAAAGTGTTTTCTAAAGAATTGGAAAGTTACCTTTGTACTATTCGGAGTAGTGCTAACAGAAAGGCTATTAAAACTGTCCGTTTATGTTCTTTCTTCAAAATAATTGAGTAATGTAAAGGTGTTATATGGCTATATAAACTAAAGTATAAAAGAAACTACATGCACCGGCGTAAATGTTTAAATAATAAAAAAAATCACTAGAGCGCAAAAGAATTACGAGCATGCAATGTTGTAAATTGGCAACTTGGCAAATCATGAAATAATAGTAAAATACAAATAAATTACGTTATAGGTATGGCACGTGTTTTACTGCAATATTGCTGTTATCGCGACAGCTCTATTTGTCAAACATATTTTTGCTATAGCCTATTAACAAGTGCATGACAGAACAAAAAGTGAAAGTTCTGATTGCTTGCTGTTATCAAAAGTTCTCTGTTGCTTGCTGTTATCAAATAAGGGTTCACTTGAACTGATTCTAACTGTATTTCTGTGTTTTAGACCAGGTGAAAGTGAAAGAGCAAAGACAAGAACTGAATGAAGTGAAGGAGGAACATCGTAACTTTACAATTCAAAAAACAAAAGCCCAAAAGATGCACACCTGCACTCAGTGTGGAAAGAGTTTCACACGGAAAGGAAACCTTCACATACACATGAGAATTCACACTGGAGAGAAACCGTATACATGCACTCAGTGTGGAAAGAGATTCACTGGTGAATCAGGTCTCATCTATCATCTGCGCATTCACTCTGGAGAAAAACCATTTAACTGTGATCAGTGTGGTAAAGATTTTATTTCATCATCAAATCTTAAAGATCACCTGAAAGTTCATTCAACTGAGAAGCCTTATGTGTGTTCTCTCTGTGGAAAGAGCTTTTCAAGGCTGGACAGTTTTAAACAGCACCAGAAAACACACGATGAAGTGAGAGATCATGTGTGCTTTGACTGTGGGAAGAGCTTTACTAGAGCTGAATGTCTGAAACAGCATCAAAGAATTCATACTGGAGAAAAACCTTACAAGTGTTCATACTGTGACAAGAGATTCACTCGGTCTGAATCTCTGAAATCACACAAGCGAATTCACTCTGGAGAGAAGCCGTACGACTGTACTCAGTGTGGGAAGAGTTTCACAGAGAAAGGAAACCTCAAGACACACGTGAGAATTCACACTGGAGAGAAACCGTATACATGCACTCAGTGTGGAAAGAGTTTTTCTCGTTCATCAACTCTCGGGCATCATCTGCGCGTTCATTCAGGAGAAAGGCCATTTAACTGTGATCAGTGTGGTAAATGTTTTATTTCATCGTCAAATCTAAAAGATCACCTAAAAGTTCATTCAGATGAGAGGCCTTATGTGTGTTCTCTCTGTGGAAAGAGTTTTTCTCGGCTGTTCTGTTTTAAACAGCACCGGAAAACACATAATGAAGTGAGAGATCATGCGTGTTGTGACTGTGGGAAGAGCTTTACTACATCTGATAATCTGAAACGGCATCAAAGAATTCATACTGGAGAAAAACCTTACAAGTGCTCATACTGTGACAAGAGTTTCAATCTTTCTGATTCTCTAAAATCACACGAGCGAGTTCACACTGGAGAGAAGCCGTACGCCTGTACTCAGTGTGGGAAGAGTTTCACCAAATCAAGTAGTCTAGGGACTCATATTAAAAAGCATTGTTCTGTGTCATAGTGAGCAAATGTTACCCTTCGAGAGGTCTATGGTAAAACTCCTTCTCTTGATAATACTGAAACAAATTTTTAGGGCTGGACCAGAATATTCAATTATTCGTTCAGTTGGTTGGTATTCGATTTGAAAATGTGACATTCGAATAAACATTTTTTTTGTTTGTTGTTGTTTTTTTCTCACCTGGCATCCCACTCGAAATGGTTCTCATTCGCGCTGAATATGTTTTACACATTGAATATGTTTTACAGTATACAATCTGGTGAAATATAGGCTAATACTTAACATAAAACTTCGTTAGAGCTAATAAATATATTTGCTTCTTCTTGGACTACTAAATAAAAAGTGTTTCTGCAACGGGAGTATTGTCTGGCTAGAGCGCAGAACAGCGCAGAAAACAGCGGAGTTTGAATGGAGAGAAGCATGCCTGCGCTTGTACATATTTTGGGTCAGGCTGCATTGCTTTGACATTGTGGAAAATAGAATAATAGAAACGAAATGTATTATCCTTTTTATCCGTTATTATTATCAATCTAAATTAATCTACTGCGAGACTTTGAGATTTTACTGGGACCTCGGAATAAAAAAAAAACGAAATTGTGATGTGAGGACCTATAATATTTATGACGGATAGTAAGCAAATTGGGACGCAGCATCAGAGTTAGTCGACTTTAATCATTTCCCATCTCAAGGTAAGTCAATTCAGAGTTCAAGTTTTAACTGAGAGTTGGTTGAACCTCCTTATCTACTGTGGATTGATTTAAAGTTTGCTGCCTGACTTTATGCCTGAACAGATTAAGAGTTGCTTTGTCTATGTTGTGTTTGCTGGATAATCACCCTGATTTCACGACGATTACATTAAAGATTTCATTACATCAAATATGTTATGATCTTTCTGAAAGAAACTCAGGTTGCCAATAGAAGATTTTATTATTTTAGTTTTAATTTAGTAACATATAAAATCACCTCCCAATGAGTTCACACCTCAATCCAGTAGATGGCGGTAATGCACTTTGTTTGCAAACTGCCAATAAAAAAACACCGAAGAAGATCCTCATTGTAAAGTAAACTTGTTTTGTGTTGCTCTGGTGAACATCTCTGAGTGTTTCTTCCTGTGGTTTTGTCTTCCCGTGGATTACTCTTGGACTGTTTATTCTCTTCGTGATTCTTTGCTGCCTGTCCTGGACTGTTTGCTATTGTGGACTGATTTATGTAAGTTTGCTGCCTGACTTTATGTGTTTTCAGATTACGAGTTGCTTTGTCTATGGTTGTGTTTGCTGATAATGATCCTGGGGCCCGTTTCAATAAGGAGGTTCAACCAACTCTGAGTTAAAGCTTGAACTCAGAGTTGACTTACCCTGAGATGGGAAACTCTGAGTTTTCGGTTACAGAACAGCTGAAATGAGTTAGTTCAATCAACTCTGAGTTGACTGACTCTGAGTTAAGCGCTTGCACCACAACTATAAAAAGCCATTATCAATGGAGCACAGATATTATGAGTCACCATGGCAACAGCGCCAGACAAAAAGAGGTGTTTATTAATTACCAAGTAATCTAAATATTGTAATTTAATGAAAGGGATTACTCTTAATTCTTCTGTAATTTAAAATAAAATATGATGCAATTACATTAAATAGGCTACTACATAAACCAATTAAGTATAAAACAATAGTGGATTTAACATACATTTTTAAAAGGTATATTTTTTATGTAACCTTCTCCCTCTACACACTTTGATCAATTCAAGAATAATTCATGCAATTGTATATTGTGAATTTGAAATAATTAAAAGTGCAGTTTCTTGTCTCTCCTCTTTGTATTAATCAAGTGGTTGAGGTTGAGATTTAGCAATTAGTAATATGTAGACCAATACTTTCTAGAGATAGTAGCCTGATTATTACATTAATCTAACTACACCGTTGAAGATGTCAGTTAATAATTCATAACTATTTTAGAGTAACTTACTGTTATAATATAGAGGTGAAACTGGAAGAATGTTATTCAACCTAAAGTAGGCTACTATTACTTTGATAAAATTTTACCTCAGTTAAAGTAAAAATACCAGTCTAAAAATCCACTCAAGTAAAAAGTAGTTAATTTAAAACATGAGTAAAAGTTGCTGAGTAACTTGTGGGGGTGGGGTGGGGGACTCCCCATGTGGGGAGAGTTGAGAAACATCTCAGAAAATATCACGGTTTATGGTATTAAACAATTATTAAATATATAAACTGCATTCTTAAATTACGGTTATTATTATCATCAGTTAAAATGACAGTTAAATAAATTAAACATTTGTTCAATAAAACATATCAACTAACTTCAATAATTGATTATGAATAAAATTAACATCTTATTTTTTATCATTAATAACTTATTAAATTATGTTTGAAAAATAAGTGAGTTCTATTAAATGTTTTTTATTCCAATTTTTTTAATGATTTAATAGAAATATATTATCAAAAACGGTGGTAATCAAATAAAAGTTTAGCAAACGTTTTAAATCCTTTTATTTTTTGGCAAAGTGCACAAAACAGATTTAGTCGATTAAACCATGGACAAACAATATATATTCCTTAAAGAATGTGTAAATACATTTTAGTATTATTGTTGGTGTTTAACAGCACTTCCTCTTTAAAAAAGGGGAGGAGACCGCAAGAAACTCTGAGTTTACTGAAGAAAACCTGCTCCCGACCAGGTTAGGTTCACGGAGTAAGTTACCATGGTAACTGACTCTGAGTATAAGTTACCTCTCTTTCAGAAATGGGCTTGACTTACTCTGCTGTCTCAGGTTTAACTTACCTCCCTTTCTGAAACGGAAAACCCAGAGTTTCCCTCATTTCAGGGTTAACATACTCAGAGTTTTCACTTAACCTCCTTTCTGAAACAGGCCCCTGATATTACGACCAAGAAGCTTCAAATGAATCATCCCTTTGCTGAAGCGTCGTTACAAGTTTAGTTTTGATTTTATACTATGGAAGTGTTTTAAAGTCAAAATAAGGACGTGTATACGTTTTTCTGCCAACACATTGATGTACTTTTGTACTCGTATTACCGCGCGTTAAAAAGAAAATCTCCACACATATCATTTTGGTGGATTGAGTCTGTGGGTTTAGCTTTTATTTTGATGTTAATCTGTTTTTAGGCATATCTGTGACCTGTGTATTAGATTGCAATTACTGTTAGGGAGGACGGTAATTAATGTGTCTTTTCTCATGCATCCTTCAGCAGAAAGACAGTGAATCTGAATACTGTTCTCGCTGAGGTGCAACAACAACTCCAACTAAACATTGAGCTAAACTCTCTGTCTCTATTCATGAACATGAGGAATTCCTGAGTTCTTTGTATGCAGATTTTAAAATTAAATCCATATATATGAGACTGTTGATGAGAGAGTGAAGCTAGGAAACAAACAGCAAAATACTGAAACTAAGCCACCTTTGATTAACATTACTTTTACAGCACAAAATCAATATGCTTGAAAAATAACTTGGAACAAAGATTATATACATACATACATGCATACAAACAGTGTTTCTGCAGGGAAGTTTTTTTTCTTTTCTTATTATTTTATCCATCAAATATTCATGTACAAACAACAGATCAGGTGCATGAAAAAAAAAAAACAAATAGCTACACACATACACACAAAAATGGAGCAAATGTTTTTCTTATTTTCTTCATTTTTTTTTTTTTAATCATTCTGAGTGCTTTTGAATAAGAAACAAATTCTGCTGTGGGATCACCCAGGGTCCCTGGTGTTGTCCAATGTAAAGATTAAACCAATTTTGTACAGCGTACAAAACTCGTCCAGACAAAATGATCACAACAATATTATCAAACTCTGTAAACAATAAATCATCTCTGATTTCATTTTCAATACAATCAAAAATGGAGACGCAAGAGTCAAGACGGAAAGTTGTATTTAAATTAAATGAGAGCGCGTGTGATACATGGATGTGCTGCATTATAATGTGCTGCTATTGACAACCGTCATTATAAGGAAAGAAATGCCACAGAATACAATCTTGCTTTGAAAAGTGCATAGAGCTGCTTGTTGTATTTGTTGTTTGTGGATTTATTAAATATAAAACTTTTAAAATGTTTTAAATTGAGATAAGTTCTTTTTGAAAACTTTCATCTCGTTTTAACTTTTAACAAAACCGTGAAAATATTGATAATCATGATAATTTTGGTCACTATAATCATGATATGAAAATTTCTCTAATCTTGACTATTAAAAGAGGATGACAAATCTAACCTTTGATAATATAAAATATAGTATTTGATAAGCAGATCTCACTTGTTTTCTGTTATTAAATGAATCAGGGTTGCATGAATTCACATGTATCCTCCTTGAAATCATTCAAACAACTAAATGTTTTGATATATTTCAGACCTGATGGAAGTGAAAGAGCGAAGACAAGAACCGAAGTGAAATTTCCAAGGTGATGTGCTGTAGTTATTTCAGCCTGTTGACTACAATAAAACAATTTAATGTGCCAATTTACAGAAGATCTCAGACCATAATGATCATCACCATAATGAATGAGCTGAAAACAGGGAACTTTTGGAGACAAAGAGGTTTTTCAGCTGCTCAGTTTAACATGATGGCCCTGTACTTTTTAAATGCAGATTGGATAAAAACACAGTGATCACAGTTCACACCTGCAGTGAAGCCCCTCCCACAACAATTCACCAATAAATACTGGGAATATTCCCATCATCCTACAAGAGAAGGACAAACTCCAGGAGTAGCAGCTGAAATCTGTGAGACTGTTAAAGATGGAGTTTATTAAAGAGGAGATTGAAGACATGACTGATCCAGAACCATCCAGAATAAAACATGAAGATACTGAGGAACAAACAGGTTGGTGTCCATTCTTGATTCTTCATTGTTGATGCTTTGATAGAGATGTAAATTAATAAGCAGAATATGGATGATAAATGATAGAGTAATGCATCCAAATGACAATAACCTTGTTTATAGCAGTTATCAAACATACAGTGGGTAGTATTCTGACCCCCTTAAATTGTTGACTCTTTGTTAAATTGCAGCCATTTGCTAAAATCATTTAAGTAAAAATTTTCCCTCATTATTGTACACACAGCACCACATTTTTGTACAGTTATTAAAAAAAAGAAAAACTGAAATATCACATGGTCCTAAGTATTCAGACCCTTTGCTCAGTATTTATCAGAAGCACCCTTTTGATCTAATACAGCCATGAGTCTTTTTGGGAAAGATGCAACAAGTTTTTCACATCTGGATTTGGGTATCCTCTGCCATTCCTCCTTGCAGATCCCCTCCAGTTCTGTTAGGTTGGATGGTGTTGTTGGTGGACAGCCATTTTCAGGTCTCTCCAGAGATGCTCAATTGGGTTAAGCATAGACTGTAAAAAAAATATGGACAAAGCGTTTGTGACGTCACCCATAGACTCTCTGAAGAACGGGTTTGAGGCTGTTTATGGGGGGTATGGGCAGCGCCATAGTGGAAAATCTTGAGAAATACAAAATGCACAGAGAATATAGCAAGGCTAGCATTTGTCCTTAGAAAAGTTACATTTTTGGAATTTCCTAAATTTCTTTTCGGGTGAGTAAATTATCAGCAAAAGTTTTTTCAAAAGTGAACTAATCCTTTAAATGCGTTGATGCAATAACGTTACTATAATTAAGATTTGATTCAGAACGTCCAATTTGACTGCTATTGTAGTTAGGCTATAATGCCCTGTTTTAATCGCATTTTATCTAAACAACTGCAACAACGGGTTAGTAGGCTAAATAACACAATTTTAGTAAAAGTCAATGCCTGGTAGAATTTGAATACAAATCTGTAGGCTATTTTAAAAACAGCCATCGGTAAATTTTACCCTGAGGTGGTTCTAATCATCGTGGTCCGGTAAATAATAGTATGCTCTGCCAAATGTTATAGGACTTAAAGGATTACAGTGATGTGTGATTGACATTTTAGCGTGCTCTTGCGCGTCTATGTTAAGCGCATTTTTGAGAAACGCAGGGCTGCTGGCTGTGCACACTGTAAATGCCGTTTACGTTCGGGTCCAGTCGGGTTCTAAAGGAAATGCTTCAGGTCGGGTCGGACTCGGGTCTAATTTTATCGGGTCTGTCTCGGGTCGTTTTTTTCTTTTTTTTTAAATAATTTATGCATGTCGGGTTCGGGTAAGTAGCGATTCGGGTCAGTTCGGGTCGGGTCCAGTTTTTAGGACCCGAGAAGACCTCTAATTGGAAGGTGAACCTTCGGCCCAGTCTGAGGTCCAGAGCACTCTGGAAAAGGTTTTCGTCCAGGATATCCCTGTACTTGGCGGCATTCATCTTTCCCTCGATGGCAACCAGTCGTCCTGTCCCTGCAGCTGAAAAACACCCCCACAGCATGATGCCGCCACCGCCATGCTTCACTGTTGAGACTGTATTGGACAGGTGATGAGCAGTGCCTGGTTTTCTCCACACATACCGCTTAGAATTAAGGCCAAAGAGTTCTATCTTGGTCTCATCGGACCAGAGGATCTTATTTATCACCATCTTGGAGTCCTTCAGGTGTTTTTTGTTTTGTTTTTTAGCAAACTCCATGCGGGCTTTCATGTGTCTTGCACTGAGGAGAGGCTTCCGTCGGGCCACTCTGCCATAAACCCCCGACTGGTGGATGGCTGCAGTGATGGTTGACTTAAGTTACTACAACTTTCTCACATCTCCCGACTGCATCTCTGGAGCTCAGCCACAGTGATCATTGGGTTCTTCTTTACCTCTCTCACAAAGGCTTTCTCCCCGGATAGCTACGTTTGGCCGGACAGCCAGCTCTAGGAAGGGTTCTGGTCGTCCCAAACGTCTTCCATTTAAGGATTTTGGAGGCCACTTTGCTCTTAGGAACCTTAAGTGCAGCAGAATTTTTTAACCATGGCCAGATCTGTGCCTTGCCACAATTCTGTCTCTGAGCTCTTCAGGCAGTTCCTTTGACCTCGTGATTCTCATTTGCTCTGACATGCACTGTGAGCTGTAAGGTCTTATATACCCCTTTTCCACGTGTAGGCGGCGCGGTAAGACGCGGCGGCTGCTCCGGGTCCCAAAATACGGTGCTTTTATGTCTCACAATGTCGTCTGTTCGTCTCCAAATAGTGCAAAATTCCCGCAAACTCATAAAAAACAAATATATGATCGCCAAAACCTTTTGGATATCGCCAACGCGTACAAACACCAACTCTCGTCGGCGGTTACTGAGAAGTTACGAGGCTTCTGTCTACTGCTGGAACCGGACCTCGTGACCGCGACCTCGCCTACTGACGCTACCCGCACAAGGCGGCGTCGTAAGCGGTGTGAGAGGTGACGGAAGCGTGGCAAGCGTGGAGGTATACGAGCTAGGCTAAGGGCTAACCCCACAAGACCGGCTCTTCCAACACTCGTGCTCTCAAACGTTCGCTCTTTGGAAAACAAACTGGACTTAATTCAACTCACTCTGTCTACACAGCATGAGGCAAGGGCTTGTTGTGTGTTTGTGTTCACCGAAACATGGCTTAACGTCAACATCCCGAACTCTGGCATCGAGCTGCACGGGCTAACCAGCTACCTAGCAGATAGAGATTCATCACTATCTGGTAAGACCCGCGGTGGTGGCTTGTGTGTGTATATCAACAAAGACTGGTGTAACAATGCTGCAATATTATTAAATTATTGTTCATCGCTGGTGGAGTTTATGGTTGTGAAGTGTCGACCATTCTATCTGCCGCGGGAGTTCACGGCCATTGTTATTGTTGCTGTTTACATTCCCCCATGTGCAAACGCCAAAGACGCGCTTCGTGAACTTCGTGAACGCGTTTACTACCCGGCAATTATATTTTTGTACTTTCTCGTGCACTTTTGTAAATTTGCTTGTCAATGTTTATTTCTGTTATATCTTTGCATGTCTGTATTTATAGCATCGTGGTCCTGTGAGGCACCACATTTCGTCCCACTGTATGTCCTCACATGTAGTGGAATGACAATAAACATAAACCTTGAACCTTCCACCGAAAAAAGAACGGGTTCGGAACTGGTGCTGGTTCAAAGTTGGTTCGGAGTTGGTTCAACTTGCGAACCCGTTCAGAACCTGTTTGTTTTTCCATTGACTAGAGCGCCCAGGGAACGACGTCGTTACGTCACTGTGCACGTCGCTAGAAACGCTTGCAAGTACATTGCTTTGGGATTGAACTCGTCTACCGAGAAAACTTTAAAAACAATTGAAATATGTAAGTCTTTTAATCTTTTTGTTTGATACGTAATCTTTTCTGATAAGTTATGTACCCCTGTCTTGTGTCTTTTTTTCTTTCCATTTATTTGTTCTATATCGTGACATTTTTCTTCTTTGCTTTTGTTTCAAATAAAAAAAAATAAAAACGCTTGCGTGTTTCTGCAGTTTCTCCTAGCTTTGCGATGGTCAGAAAATATGTTTAGAACACATCTAAACCCGCCCCAGCCCCTGACGTAAACATGACGTGTTAAAAGAACGGTTCTAGTCCAGCAAAGAGTTGGTGCCGCTTTGGAACCAGTTTTCCCGGCCGCGATCCTCTTGCAGGTCCTCTGTTCTAGACTGGCCGCTGGCTCAAAACCACGCTTATAGCGGTAAACTTGAGGAACGCCCATCAAAGTACAAATGTGGGGAGGCGTCGCGACAACACGCGACTGTCGTGTCGGACAGGTGGATCTCTACTGCGGCGTTGCGGGCTATCACTTCTCTCTCTCTCTCTCTCTCTCTCTCTCTCTCTCTCTCTCTCTATATATATATATATATATATATATATATAAAGTATAAAAGAAACTACATGCAAAGGCATAAATGTTTAAATAATAAAAAAATCACTAAAGCGCAAAAGAATTACGAGCATGCAATGTTGTAAATTGGCAACTTGGCAAGTCATGAAATAATGTAAAATACAAATAAATTACGTTATTGGTATGTCACGTGTTTTGCATGCAGGTATGATGCCCACTCTATTTATCTGGAGCAGTTTCCATGTTTCTTAAACGGTTCTTAAGTATTGTGTAACCATGGTAGCCAATTTGTTGTTTCCATAACCCCAAAATGGGACTTATTGGTTAGTTTGTTTATGACTGTGGTGGTTCATACCAAGATTGTATTGACAAAAACTAGTAATTGAGACTGTCTTTTGATCGTCATGGTTTGATGACCATAGGGAAATATGGGTCCCATGGCCAAACTATTCAAAACATCATTCGATGTAAATTGGGAAAATCGTAATTAATAATCACAATTACAATTTCAAAGGGAATTATCGACAATTATGGATTTTAAATTAGAGTAATACATTTAAATGATTATATTAGCAGTTGTCAACAGTGCTGTCATGGTGAAGGATTTTCCCTTGCAGTAATTTTGAGTGGCTTTAATAGCGTGTTATGTGGTATTATCACCATTTGTTTATTTTGATTTATTTATATTTATTTTTTGCTATATAAATAAGTGTTACGATATGGTCAGCATGCACAAGAGTACATTTTCAGTAACTAATGTAACCAAAGCTAAACAAGTCCTCTAAACTTCTGAAGTTCAAAACAAGAGGGGTGTAGCCTTATGAAAAAGAAAGCGATTATTGCGGTTGCTGGCTTATCAATAGAACGGTACTGCAATATTGCTGTTATCGCGACAGCTCTATTTGTCAAACATATTTTTGCTATATTAACAAGTGCATGACAGAACAAAAAGTGAAAGTTCTGATCTCTGTTGCTTGCTGTTATCAAATAAGGGTTCACTTGAACTGATTCTAACTGTATTTCTGTGTGTTTTAGACCAGGTGAAAGAGCCAAGACAAGAACTGAATGAAGTGAAGGAGGAACATCGTAACTTTACAATTCAAAGAACAAAAGCCAAAAAGACGCACACCTGCACTCAGTGTGGAAAGAGTTTCACAGAGAAAGGAAACCTTAACAGACACATGAGAATTCACACTGGAGAGAAACCGTATACATGCACTCAGTGTGGAAAGAGATTCACTGGTGAATCAGGTCTCAGTGTTCATCTGCTCATTCACTCTGGAGAAAAACCATTTCACTGTGATCAGTGTGGTAAAGATTTTATTTCATCATCACAGCTAAAATCACACCTGAAAGTTCATTCAGATGAGAGGCCTTATGTGTGTTCTCTCTGTGGAAAGAGTTTTTCATGGCTGATCAGTTTTAAACAGCACCAGAAAACACACAATGGAGTGAGAGATCATGTGTGTTGTGACTGTGGGAAGAGTTTTACTACACCTGCTGATCTGAAACTGCATCAACGAATTCATACTGGAGAAAAACCTTACAAGTGCTCATATTGTGACAAGAGTTTCACTGTGTCTGGATCCCTGAAAAAACACGAGCGAGTTCACACTGGAGAGAAGCCGTACGACTGTACTCAGTGTGGGAAGAGTTTCACAGAGAAAGGAAACCTCAAGGCACACATGAGAAGTCACACTGGAGAGAAACCGTATACATGCACTCAGTGTGGAAAGAGTTTCAGAGATAAAGGAAGCCTTAACACACACATGAGAATTCACATTAGAGAGAAACCGTATACATGCACTCAGTGTGGAAAGAGTTTCACAGAGAAAGGAAGCCTTAACACACACATGAGAAGTCACACTGGAGAGAAACTACATGCATGCACTCAGTGTGGAAAGAGTTTCACAGAGAAAGGAAACCTTAAGATACACATGAGAATTCACACTGGAGAGAAACCGTATACATGCACTCAGTGTGGAAAGAGATTCTCTCGACTATCAACTCTCAATCAGCATCAGCGCATTCACTCTGAAGGAAAGACATTTAACTGTGATCAGTGTGGTAAAGATTGTATTTCATCATTAAAACTAAAAAAACACCTGACAGTTCATTCAGATGAGAAGCCTTATGTGTGTTCTCTCTGTGGAAAGAGTTTTTCACTACTGAACCATTTTAAACAGCACCAGAAAACACACAATGAAGTGAGAGATTATTTGTGTTGTGACTGTGGGAAGAGCTTTACTACATCTGGTGAATTGAAACAGCATGAAAGAATTCATACTGGAGAAAGACCTTACAAGTGCTCATATTGTGACAAGAGTTTCACTCAGGCTGGAACCCTGAAATCACACGAGCGAGTTCACACTGGAGAGAAGCCGTACGCCTGTACTCAGTGTGGAAAGAATTTCAACCAATCAAGTAATCTAGTGACTCATATTAGAAAGCATTGTTCTGTGTCAAAGTGAGCAAATGTTTTGTTAGATTCACATAAAGTAAATGTGTAGTTAGTTAAAGTCCCCGTGAACCGGAAGTTGCAAACGATTTTTCTCCAGTGCTGTGACGTATTTCCAAGTTAACGGAATATTGAACAGAGGGCAGGGTTTTACTCCAGCGCTCCTCCTCTCCATCTCTCGCTCATAGTAAACTAACGGTTTGAGGGGAGTGGTTAAGCGTTTCCCCACCCAAGCTGTGAAACGTACGTCATCAGAAAAAGAAACCGTTTCAGACCGGAAGTAACTTTTCAGATTTTGATTAAAGATTACCAAGGTAAAACATTTTTTAAATATATTTTTACTTGCACGGATTAATTGTTCACCACAAGACTAGTAATATGCGCTAACAAAGTAAATAGGTTCAATTTTGATTTCACGGGGACTTTAACTAAACGAGTGTTGCTGTGAATGCCACAAGATGTTTTATGTTGGAGAACAAGAATATTATTTTGATGGAGTACTTGCTCAAAGAAATACCAAAATGAAAAGTGACTGGAAAGAACTGTAAAAAAAACCCAATAACAATCGGTTATATGTTAATAAATGAAACAACTGACCCTTCGCAGGGAGCTTGATTGACAGGTGATCTGACCAATCATACTTCGCCATGCGCCATTTTGTCCAACAAACAAAGCAGTCCGGAGAGTTAGATTAACATGGGAGGATTTTAACAGATTGTACTGTCGCCTTTCCGTGGTTAAAACGACACTTCTTCTCGTGTTCATTCATGTTTATATGATGCTAAAAAGAAATTAGAAGGAAGAGATAATCGGTTCACGAGCAGCTTTAACTGATGCTCTACACGGCGATCTGTCACAACACATTAAAGAGCCACTAAACAGTATTTATTGTTTAAATTCATTGTTTATAAAAAAAGAACCTCCTCTAGGGCTGGGCGTTATCACGATATTGTATATCAACAATATCTTGACATATATTGACAATACAATATTATACGTATATCTTGCAAGTATCGTGATTTTGATTATAACAGTCTGTTTACAGTCGATAATCTGAGCTAAACACACACCCAAAGCGAGCACAGAAAGCCGCTTCTCATTTAGTGTTCTTATTATGTGTATTTTTATGTTGAGTTAACGTTAGAGATGACTAGCCTGGTTCTACCAGACTCTCGTACATACATTTCATTTGTACAGAGAGTCTGGCCTCCCTCAATTGAGAAACGTTTTCTTCCTTGTAGGCGGGTTCACTATTAAAGTTCAAATCTATTGGATCTGCCCAGAGTCACTCACGATCTGCCATAGCCAATCGCTAATGTGTGGTCGTGAGTGACGTATGTCATGCGCCGAAACGGCTGGAAACAACCATAGACAGTAAAAGAAACAACAAGTCCGAACTCCGAATGATCAGAGGATTAAATTTACAATAGGATTTCAGTCAACGAGAGCTGCAGGTTTTGTTAATCTAGGAACAATTATTAATTCGAAATGTATATTTGACATGAAGGACAGTGATTATTCAGTCAATGCTGTAAGTTACAGTGAATGATCAGTCTGTCTGCAGATGTGTAATAAACAACAATTTTTCATATTACGTATTTTTGTTTCTTAATTACCTTAATTATGGTCTTCAAAGTATGTGTTTGTACATTTTTATATGGCATTTAGTTTTTTTTTTTTTATTAAAACAAATTAACCATTGACATCTAAAACTGAAAATCAAATATAGTCTCCAAAGTATGGGTTTTCAAATTTTTATTTATGACAATTTTCTTTTTAAATCACAACCAATTTGTATGATTTACAACATGTAAAACTGACACACCAACCTCCTGTACGAGTGCACAAAGGGGCTCAAAATGTTCTATTCATCACAAGAATCAGTAAATTTACTGTTGGGAATCTGAGCGACTGACATGACTCCTGAGCGGATCTTCAACAATGGGCTATATGCACGCATAAGTTCCGCATTTGACGTAAGGATGCTCGTCCATTTCCGGTTGTGTAGATTAAAGCGGAGGAAAACCGGAGAAAACGGGATTATGGCAGAGTCTTCAATATTTACTCTCCTCCCGTCTTTGAAACGAAACGTACATACGTTTAGATGTAATTTTATATATAGTTATGTTTATTTAATATAATTTTAAAAAGAAGCATAAACACAACGAGGGGTGTCTGTTTTATCTGTTTTTGTGACTAACGTTTCATTAGTATAACCATGGAGTATAAAATTCAATATAAATTCTCGGTATTGCATTGGACTCTATGATCGGCGGAAGTTATCGAGCATCCCTAATGCTTCACCGGAAATAACGCCGTGCATAGAGCCCATAGTTTAGCAGCCAGGACTCGGGGCTTCCGAACACCGCGAACACCAGGCTAAAGTCCAAAATGTCACGGTCATTGTGCACGAGCTGCCCAGCACAAACTTCCAACCTTTCTGCCTCCTTCACTTGGTCCTCCGTTGTGCAACAAGAGGTGAGACGACAACAATCCGGCTTTAAATTCTGTATATTCGGCAGTTTCTTTTCCAACAACGGACCGAATAGCTTTTCTCACGTCTTTCTCCGCTGCCATTACTGCACTCAAACTGACGCACTACATCAACGTCATCGTTCTCAGCCACTCCCTCTATTCGCTGATTGGTCCTACAAAAAATTGATTTCTGGAAACCTAAGGATGGAGCGGTCCCGCAGTACTGAAGGAAAATGAAATTGAGCGGAAGTGCGTAGGCGGGCGCAGCCAGGCTAAGAGATGACTAGATCTCGACTAAAAAGAAATGCATAGAGGATTCAGAGGAAGAAGGAGATGCAAGGATTAGACAGGTGAGTAAATGTACATAAAACAAGGATATATCTGTTTCCTCACAACACATGCAACTGTCAATAATATCACGTACAAACAATGCGAGATACATATGACGTGACCGATCAATCATTTTGCATGTTGATTCACCTCAAAAACTATCAAGTAATCATTATGCTGATGGAAATTCAGCAGCTATACTAGCTATATGAGCTATACTAGGTCCGGTCACAGAGGGGCAATCGAGACGTTTTGGCTTCACTTTTGAGGGCTTGTGCGGCACGCTTGGTTTGAACACGTATTACAACACGACATTAACCATAAACACGTAAAACTGAGCAGCATTAACCCAACAAATCATTTGACAAATAGCTGTAACAGAATAATATATCATAACATTCCTCGTTCTTTGCAGTTAATTCATTATGGTGTCACAACATATTGTGATCAGACTAACTGGTAATGCAAAAACGAATAAATTACCACATCGGTGTTCATGATTCATTAATTCCATAACATCTCTGGATGATGAAAACAACATCTCCCATGGATCCACTCTCTTTCATAGCGATTGGCCAATACCAGGGCCAAGCACAAAGAAGCCAACAAGACATGCCAACATGTGTCAGACCAACTGCAGCAATGAGCAATTGAAGATATTTAAAGATGAATTTAGGCAAAATGATTGAAAAATCACACATTAACTAAAAATGTGATTAAATGGATTATCACTTTCGACCAATAGGTGGCGTAGTTACAAAATCGATGTGATGTGGTCAGAGTTTGGTGACGATGAAAAAACCTTCAGACCAGTGGCATTTAAAATACACAGATTTATTAGTTAAGAGTTAAGAGTTTTATTAAGTTAAGAGTATTGTTCAAATTTTTTTATAACTTTGACCAAAAGGTGGTGCTGTCTTGAAATCTTTTGAGTACCTTCAGGGGATGGTGCTGATTGCACAAATGTAGTTTTGTAATGTTACACCAATGCATTCGTTCAGTTATGCATTTGTTATGTTCTATTATAGCACTACCAAGAGGCTCAGTCACACAATTTTTTAAACGTGTCCTCAGAGTGAGCCCATACATTCGTTTGCCAATTTTGGTGGAAATATCTCAATTCCTTTTGGAGTTATAGACATTTATGTGAAAAAAACATAAAAAATTACTGACACGTGACTGTGATTGAGTTTTACTTACCTTACTATCAATATTTTTGCATTTGGGCATTAGTGTTTAGCCAGCGACCTGTTTCCAATTTTCTGATGGTCGTTTCATCTCGATTGGACTAGCGGTTTCGAAGATATCGCCAAATGTTTTTTGTTTTTTTTTGCGCTAATTCGCAACGCTACACAAAGCGTAATACGAAACCCAGCTTATGTGGTATCACTGTACTCGGCAAGGATTCGGGAACTCAAGGAGATGACCCCAAGTTCCGTAACAATTCGTTCATGCATTCAAAAAAAAACGTTTTAAAAAAGTACAGCATTTTAACTGCATTTTATAATTCAAAATGGCCAACAGCCAAAATACGACATGAAGCCCTGAATCTAACAAGACCAATTTTATGATTTTTGGACAAACTGTGCAGAAGTTATGAGCAAAAATGGCCATTTTTCATATCTCCGGACCAGTAGGTGGCGCTGCGCTGAAACGCAGCATGTAGCCTCAGGTCATGCTTGTGATTACATGGACCAAGTTTGGTCTAAATACGATAAAGCGTTGCGGAGATACAGCCTTATGTCTGCTTTTGCAAGCATTATGTAAAATTAATTTGCATGGTATTCGAGAACGACTTGCAGCGTTTTTTATTTTAATTCCATACATTTTGTTCGGCACGGTCTAGAGATGATCTGACTCAATTTTGGTGAGAATCGCAGCAACGGCCTAGGAGGAGTTTGATAAAGTAGCTTTTTCGCATAATTAAAAATGGCGCACAAATTGTCATGTCGGAAATGACGTCATTGGGTTCAGTCGAATTGGCTTGAGCCAAGGAATAAGATGAGAAAGGAATTGTGATTCTAGCCATTATGGTTCAAAAGTTATTAGCATAAACATGAGTGAAATTTTGGACAGTTGGTGGTGCTAGAGGGATTGAGTTGGAGACTCCAAATTTGCTATGAAGACTTTTCAGACTGTCCTCTATTAGTGTACCAAATTTCATAACTTTCCCGCAAGCAGTTCTATGGGCTGCCATAGACTCCCAGAGCGGAATAATAATAATAATAAGAACGGGAACGGATACAATAGGTGCCTCCGCACCATTCGGTGCTTTGCCCCTAATGACCATTTCCACGACAATGTCTGATTCTTGAGATCCAAAT